TAAGCAAATGAATACAAATTAAAGGTGGTTTCATTCCTACAAATTAAAGATGATTTCATTCCAGTCATTAACTCCTTTAGGGAAAAAAACCTTACTATTTTACATGGATTAAAACACGAGAACGTCTTTCATCTGAAAGATGAAAGGATTGTCTGGCCTACAGACAGACAGCTACTAGTCAGTGAAAGCCTTGTTCTTTGCTGCTTCAGTTTAACTCTACATACCCTCTATTCAGCTTTACAAAATATTCAACAGCCATTTTTCCTGCAGTTATCGGCACAGCACTCCACACATACAAGAAAATATGATTACAGTGTGCTTTTATATGCTAACAAGCAACAAGCTTTGAGCTGCTGGCTGTATCCCAACAGCTAGAAAATTTGATCTCTTCAGAAGGACCAGCTCTATCTATGTTTATAGATCTACATTTTATTTATAGTTCTATTCAAAGAGGAGAAACACAGAAATCAAAGGGATGTCTTGGAAAACTTTAAAGAACAATCAATAGGAAGAAGTATATGTGCAATCATCTGTCCCTTAGAGCTAATACATGCATAGTGAAGTGTTCCTTGTGTGAGTCTGTGGGAGGGAGAGACGGTGCAAAATTAATCCAGAAGTCAAAATTCTGATTGTGCCCTAACAGCACTAAATATCTTATGAAAGCACTGTATAATTAGCTTCCAGGCAATGGTAGAAATAAATATGAAAAACCAAATAAGCAGAGTAACAAAGCACAAAAGGGGAGAGGGGAGGCTATAACTAAAGGTAATATTTGAAATGAATGTAAGTATTTTAACAAATGAATGATTTTATATAAGGCAGCAATGTACATTTGTTTTTATTGTAATAATACATGCACATGATTTAAAAAATGTAAGACAAGGTTTGAAGAGCATTCTTGAACTACTATATCTAAATGCTTGGCCCAGAAGCAAGGTTGTACATTTCTAAAAAGAGAACAGTTGATCAAACCTGATTGCTTGGGAACAAAGGATGGGGAAACTGTGCTATGAGTGGATGACTGAGCAGTAGACAGTACAGGAAATATAGTGCCATTACTCAACTTAAAACAGTTCGCTTTTTAGAACCGGTCTTCACTTTGACTAAGGGCTAGTTCTTCCATTATATGAAATGAGGAGATTGTGTCAGATGTCAGGTGGTAGATTCTGCATACTGTGGTCCCCTTTACTGAAAGAAAGAAAGAAAAAGAAAGAAAAAAGAAAGTGTTTATGCCACCTGATCTTTAGCTTGCTGATCCAAATATTGCAAAGAGGCAATGTCTAGTTCAGCAGTCAACTCCATGTGGAATACAGAGGAGATGCCATCTTGTTTTTTGCTCAAAATGAATACAATAACAATAATTAAACTACATAACGTGCAGAAAAAAAAATACTGAGCAATTGATGATAAGAAAGATAAAAAAGTCTGGATAGTGAACGTGGCAGTACTAGGAGACAGCAAAATGTAAGAGAAAGAACTGGGAAATTTAACAAAATACAAAGACCTACAAATAGAAACATTGTGGCAAAAGCAAGCCAAGATAGTACCAATAGGAATAGGCAGCTTGAGTACAATCCCAAAACAACTGGAGCACCACTCGAACACCAATGGCATTGACAAATTTGTCAGTTAACTGTAAAGGGCAGCTTTATTCAGAACAGCTTACATCTTGTGACAATACCTCTAACACACAACCTTTTGGACCTCAGGGACCACCAAATTCATAATTTTAAATCCCAGAGACCACTAACCGGTTCTGTGGGTGTGGCCTAATTTGTGGGTGTGGCTTGGTGGTCATGTGACTGGCTGGGCATGGCTTGTATGTAAATATTATAAATATTTATATAAATATTGAATTTTTATTAAAAAAAGAGCAACTTTTACCCAAAATCAGGCAAAGTAGGCAGGCAGATTGAGTTGGTCACAGAATCAGAGATTCATTCAGAAATCTATCTATCTGCCATTGGCTAGCCCAGTCTGTCACATAAAATTTGCTTGCAAGCAAACTCACAAAATTAACTCACAACACACCATGTATGTAAATATTGAATTTTTTATAAAAGAAAGCAACTTTTACCAAAAATCAGGCAAAGCAGGCAGGCAGATTGAGTTGCTCATAGAATCATTCAGTGATCTATTGCCATCGGCTAGCTCAGTCTCTCAAATTTGCTTGCTGCGAGTCTGCACTGAATAATAGAACCTTCAGTCCTAAGAGAGGTTCGGCTGTGCTTAAAAGCAGAGCCGAAGATCTAAGACTAGCTAGAAAACAAGAAATCCAACCATTTCCTGTTTCGTAACTAATCTAAATCAGAGAACAGCTGATGGTTGGAAAAAGTAAAAATAGCAATTTAGCAGGCAAGTTTGCTGGGTAAGGAGTAAGTGGGCAGGGAGGGTTCCCACGGGCCATGTGGGCGGCACAGCCTTGTGTTTCTGCGCAGCCTAGATTAATTGCTTTGTGGGGGTGCTCTGGGGCTGAGATTTCTCTGCGGCCCACCAAAATTTTCTAACGGCCCACCAGTTGGTGACCATTGCTCTAATACACAGGTATCAAACTCGATCGTGTCACATCACATGATGTATCACGACATTTGTCTTTGCAGAGTCAGGGTGGGCGTGGCCTACACATGATGCATCTGGCTCATGGGCCGCCAATTTGACACCCCTGCTCTAACACCATAAAACTTCAACATCTGCTTATCTCAGGTTCTTGGCAACGATTCGATAGGTAGACAAAAATGCTAAAATCAATCTGGACATCTGGTTGACTGTGCAATGAACCATAATACAGTGGAAACTTGGGTCGCAAATGCTCCTGTTTGGGACCAAATCGGGTGGTGAACAAAAAATCCACCCAATTTTTGAATCGGGTCACGATTCAAAAATCGGATGGTGAACAACATTGATGCAGAAAGATTCCCTTTCCACGCAGATTTTGTCTTTGGCGCCATTTTTTGGGGACTGTGTGCATGCACAGTTGGTCATGCAATTGGGTTGAGACCGGAGTCCGGGAACGGATTACAGTCATGACCCGAGGCTCCACTGTAATAAAAAGACTGGCTCTGCTCTGAACTGCAGGCAATGTTGCACATGGAATGACATGGAACATGTCTACTGAACATTCAAAGGTTCTATACATCATTATACTATGAGTTCTAGACCATTCCTAGGCAGGAAAGCCATTTGGATTGCTCACTCACTCTCAGCCCAGGACCTTCACTGGTTGCGAGGAAAATAAGAGAACATTTTGTAGGCTGCCTTGAGTCAAACAAAATGATATAAACAAACAAGCAAACAAATAAATAAATACTCTTACACTACTCTAGATACACTCCTATTAATTGAACCAGGAATTTCATGAGCACAGCATCCCAAATACTGCTTTATACTTGCTTTTACATATCATTCAAGGTTTATGTGGCTTGCCCTTCCTTCCTTCCTTCCTTCCTTCCTTCCTTCCTTCCTTCCTTCCTTCC